ATCCAAGACATCTAACTTTGTCATCCAAAGACCAGGAGGGAAAGCCCATTGAAGAGATAGGTAGAGCTCCATGGTTAATTAAGAAAGGTCTACAAAGCAGTTCAAGGAAGAGAGATCGATGACAGGGTGCCAGTCCCCCGTCTTCCTGGGGACTATGAACAAACAAGAATAGAAACCTGTACCTACCACATAGTCACTGTCATTGCCAGGAGAGCAAAAGCCATTGACAAGTGAACCGATGTTGAACCTCAGAGACTTAGTAAATGAGAGGAAGGAGGGGGACAAGACATGAGAATAGATGCAGGATGAGGTAGAGACAAACGAGAAGCCAATGAGAAAAGGGAGGTGTGCAGACTAGACTCTGGTCTCCAATGGGTCAGGAAGACCCCCAAAGCCATCTTGCCTTAAAAAGGGAATCATGCACAAGTCCCATAAAAAGGTTGGGGGTAACTGCACATGGGACCAAAATGTGTCCTGGCTTGAGAGATTCCAATAATGGTGTAGCTATGTGGGTAGGAAAAGGGGGAAGAGGATAATCGTGCAAGCATGGAAATGAAAACAAAGCATGAGTCGCCACTGAAACTCCCTCAGGGGAATGATGAAGAGCCTCTGACAAAAAGGGAACAAAAGAGGGTGAATAAGATGAAGCAGATACGGGAAAAATTGAGGTTTGGAAAATGTCACTGAAGTAGTGGGATCAGAACCCCACAGAGGCAGAAGAGAATCCAACTGCTAGGAGTCAAAAACAGGAAAAGTAGACCTACAGTAAGCCACAGAATGGTCTTCCATATGATGTGGAGGTTGAGGCATACTGATCTCACAACATAATTGGTCTACAAATCCCAATTTCCAGTGAGGTGGGGCAGAACAAGATATTGGCTCGAAAGGTTTTCCACTTAAAAGGAAAGGGATATTAACTTCAAGAAAGGAGGAGGAGGCCTATGCTCTGCCACTGGAGTTAAACATGATTGTGAGGCACAGAAAGGTGGAGAAAATAGGCTGTTAAAATCCATATCCTCATGTTCAGGTATCCCTGAACAAGGCAGGAGAGGAATTTCCACATGCAAATCAAGAACCTGCATGAAGATAGCAAACTCCCAGCAAACCAAAGACTAACGTTTCCTGCCACTAATTGTGAACCCAAAGCCACGGTAGCCAATTTATTTTTAGTAAGGTTAACTGTAGGAGGAGCAGCAGTGGTAGTAGCTGTAATGTGAAACTCAGAATCCATATCAACGAAACGTAGAAGTAGAAAAGTCCAAACAGAAGCTCAAAGAATCCTGTATTACAATAAAAAACACAGAATACTAATATATATGAACTAAAATTTCAGAACACAAGTATAGAAAATGTAAAGAAAAAAGTAAGTTCTCATTAATAAAATAGAGAAATCATGAGAGAAAAACACATCTGAACACCATGAGTGCCAATCAAGAAGTGAAGTTGGGCTAAGCTGCATAGAGATTCAGCTGTGCTAGGAGTTGTGTCATACTCCTATTGAAGGAGGGTTGCAACATGCAGCTGGTTCACACGAAAACATGTGAGGGAAGGTAAGAGTATCAAGGCTGGTGGTTAGTGAAAATTTGTGCATATACATGGCAATACAAGTTGGGAAAAGCTATTCTGTGAATGGAGGTAAGATATCATATAAGAAATATTATGTTATAACATTTTAATATTACATACTTATAATTTTATCCTTATTTTTTCCCAGATCTAATGAGTTATCAAAAATCTGTAATAGATATAGAAATGATATCACATCTTAAAAGGCCAGAGAGCAAGAACAGTTAGAATGATTATGTATATTCATATAAAAGTAGTTATATATTGTTGCCTTTCATTTACATTATATATATATATATATTGTTGCGTCAGCGAGGTCATGTGACTAGTATCACGCCACTCCTTCTCGAACCTTCGTGAATTATCGGGAGACTACTAGATTGGGGTAGTCTGGTATATATAAGACTGGCCACGAAGCGATGGGGAGGTAATGAGTAAATGAACTGCAGTCAGATGTGTGTAATTGAACAGAGTATTGTTGAAGTCAAGCATGTGAGATGTTCATTGAGAATTATAGCATTTGTTACAGAGCGACTGTTGAAATTAAGTGTATCGTAAAGTTGTATTCGGAAAGAATAAACCAGTTTTATTAAAGAAAGGACTTGTGTCGCTAAAGTTTCGTCGGAACGATTTTACGGAAAATTAATTAACAAACGGAGACGTAACAAATTGGTGTCAGAAGTGGAATGAAAAAAAAAGAAAGTAATGGAAGCGTTTGAAAGCAGCAAACCTCAAACTCCAT